GAAAAAAGCCTGCACAGATCTGGACATCCATGGGCTGAATTCTGAATTCTTCACCGATGGCAGAGAATCCTTATATTCATGTATTTGTACTTTTTTTTGTTTGCTTATTTATGTTTTATCCACTTGGAACAACTTGGAAAAATATTTTTTAAGATAACTATCTTATTTCAAATAATATTTTATAGTTTAGAAAGCACTTTTATGTACATTATTTGCTTAATAACCCTTCAACAAGGCAAACAAGTCTTGTTATTCCTAATTTCCTGGCTAATTTGAAACTTAGAAAGATTCACTGACAGGTCCAACGTCTTGTAGTTAGTAAGTTACTAGGCAATTGTGCCAGGATTTTAAACACTAGATTTCTGACCCCAAGCTCAGCAAACTTTCTTCTACTCCCTTTCTTCAGATTTATAAAACTGAATGCAAGGGTCAGCAATATAAGTTCAGTTCTCATGCTCATTGAATCCAAGAATATATAAATGAAAATACACAATTACTTTAACCAAGACTTTTAACCTTAGGAGTTCTATTTCTTAAGTGGATAAAATGCAATTCTGGAAATATTTGGCCTTAGTAAACTTCTCAAAGAAGAGCTTTCTATTATAAGATTTAACAAGAAATGAAATAAAAATCAATTATAATTTCTTGGGTTTTTTGCAAATCTAATTATTTGTTAAAGTCAATTAAGTAATTAATTGTAAATAACTAAGCTCTAAAATTCTACAATATATGCTTAGTAATCAAGTGTTCTGAATATATTTTAAAGGAATTAATACTTACAAGCTAATTTCTATTGTAATGGACAAGGAAACTATGTCAATTGTGTTTAGTTCTTATATTATCATGTCTGCAAAACCTTGCTTTACTGGACAGACATACAAAAATATACTGGAGTGGCAGACAGTTTGCCTGGACTAAGGGGTTCTCAGGATGTGAGACTTTCAGTGCTAAAGCTGGGACAGCCCCTGGTAAACCAGGATAGTTGTTCACCATAACACACACAAGCAATATTTTATACACATAATGCATTATGTGTTAGTTACACATACATTTTTCTCCTTTTAATTGGAGTCATCTTGCACAAATTATTTACTATGTCATAATATGGCGATGTTCTCAATAACTATTCTGGTGCGAAACTTGTGTGCCAGTGTGCTAAACTAAGTTAGTGTGTTGATATTTGGTTTTAGATATTTATCTCAGTTTTACACATTTCTTAGTTACCCCTTTTGCTGGCACTTGTATAGTCTCAAGCTCATTAAATGTTATTGGTTAGTAAAAAAAAAAGTCAGATATCAAAATTTCTGAGAATTTGTAAATATATTTTCTGAGTTTAGGCTACAGTATTTGGGAGAATAAAGTGCATGGTCTTTTAATTAAAAAAATTACAGGATCATCGGTAGACTCAATATCATCAAAATGTCTGTACTACCAAACTGATCTACAGATGCAATGCAATACCTATTAAATCCATCAGCATTCTTCCAAGATATAGAAAAAATAATTTTACGCTTCGTATGGACCAAAGAAGACCTCGAATATCAAGAGCAATTCTAGGCAACAAAACAAAATGGAAGGCATTAATAATGCAGATTCAAACTATACTACAAGCTGTAGTAATTAAATCAATATGGTATTGGCCAAAAATAGGAATATTGACCAGTGGAACAGATGTGAGAATCCTGATAAAAACCATCTCATATAGCCATCTAATCTTTGACAAAGCAGACAAAACATACGCTGGGGAAAGAATTCTTTCAATAAATGGTGCTGGGAAACTGGATAGCCACCTGTGGATGCTAAAACAGGACACACCTTTCACCTCTCACAAAACCAACTACGCTGGATAACAGCTTAAACCTAAGGTATGAAAACTATTAGAACTCTAGAGGAAAAAGTTGGAAACACTCTCCTAGACATCGGCCTGGGCCAAAGAGTTTATGAAGAAGTCCCAAGGAATCACAGCAGCAACAAAAATAAATAATGGGACATGATCAAACAAGCTTCTGCACAGCAAAGAAATAGTCATGAAAGTAAACGACAAACTCAGAATGGGAGAAATGTTTGCATATCTATGCATCGATAAGGGACTGATAACTAGAATATACTTAGAACTCACAAAATCAGGAAGAAAAATCAAATACTCCATTAAAAAGTGGGCAAAGGACTTGAACAGAAACTTTCTAAGAAGAAGAAGAATGGCCAACAAACATATGAAGAAATGCTCAACATCTCTAATCATCAGGGAAATGAAATCAAAACACAATGAGATCTCACTTAACCCCAGTGAGAATGGCCTTTATCAAAAATCTCCAAACAATAAATGCTGGCATGGTTGCGGAGAGAGAGGAACACTCTACACTGCTGGTGGGACTGCAAATGTTCAACTCTGTGGAAGCAATGTGGAGATACCTTAAAGCGATACAAGTGATTCTACCTTTAATCCAGCAATCCCATTGCTGGCATCTACCCAAAGATCCAATGACACTCTCAAAAGAAACCTGCACTCAAATGTTTATAGCAGCACAATTCATAATTGCAAGGCTGTGGAAACAGCCCAAGTGCCCGTCAATCCAAGAATGGATTAATAAAATGTGGTATATGTATACCATGGAGTACTATTCAGCTCTAAGAAACAATGGTGACATAGCACATCTTATATTTTCTGGTTAGAGTCTAACCCATACTATTAAGTGAAGTTTCCCAAGAATGGAAAACAAGCACCACATATACTCACCAGCAAATTGGTATTAACTGAACAGACCTAAGTGGTCACATAGGTACTACAGTAAATAGGGTTGGGCAGGTGGGAGGGGAGGGGCGGGTATATACATACATATGATGTGAGATGTGGCACCATCTGGGGGATGGTCATGATGGAGACTCAGACTTTTGGGGGGGGAATGGGCATTTATTGAAACCTTAAAATCTGTACCCCCATAATATGCCGATATAAAAAAAATTACAGGATCAAGATAGCTTGGGTGGTCAACTAATAATGGATTAAATGAGACAAAAGTATATTTTTCTTTCATGTTAAAGAAATCTGGGACAGGGAGCCCAGGGCTGGCTAGGTGACTTCACAATCATCAAAAACCTAGGCCTCTTCTATAATGCTGCATAGAATCTCATGGTCTAATATAGTGTGAAATGCCAGCCATATTGCCATATTCCAATCAGACAGAAAAAAACGAAAAGGAATCAATACAATATTTGAACATTGATCAGAACTTAGTCATATGGCCACACTTAGCTGCAAGTAATGCTAACAAATGTAGACTTTACTCTGAGTGGCCACGTGTGCCACTAAAACTAGGATTCTGTTACTAAGAAGAAGAAAAAATAGATATCATGGAATAATTAGAGTCCCTTGAACACCGATGTAAACTTACTGCAAGAGCAGATGAAATTTCTATTTTTATAACCAAAATTACTTTTTTTATCTGTTTCTTCTTTAACCTCAACATGTAATTACTAAAAAAGACAAAAACTTAAGTTTCCTTACATTTAATTCTGTAAGCATATGAGTTTGCATTTATCTTGGCCTGCATCATCTGTGGTCTCTTAAACAGATACAACTCATGCTGAGAGGTGGAAAGGAATTGAAAATATGCTTAATTTTCTGCCAAAGTTCGGGTTCAGTTTTTCTTCTTCTGGCTGAGAGTTCAAGTGTTGTAAACCTGTGCTCCCCAACCCCTGGGCCATGGACGCCCATTTTCACCCCCTCACCTCCACCCCCATCCATGGAAAATTGTCTCCCATGAGACTTAGGAATCAAGGTGCCGCACAGCAGGAGGTGAGCAGCACTGAGCATGGGAAGCTTCATCTGTATTTACAGCCACTCCCCATCACTGCCATCACCACCTGAGCTCTGCCTCCCCCGCTGAGCTGTGCCTCTCACCACTCCATGTCTGTGGAAAAATTGTCCTCCATGAAACCAGTCCCTGGTGTCAAAAAGGTTGGGGAACACTAGTGTAGATGATGGCTGAACAGGGACTTTGCATGTGCCCAGTGTGCCTACGACCTTGAATTATGTAATCTCCAACAGTCTGAGACTGGCCTATCAGCTCATAACTACCAGTGATTTTCTTAGAGACTCATCAGCCTGGTTTCGTGAGTCTCACAAGTGGAATGAAGCTGTACTTATACCATGAGCAACCTCAAGAATTATTAGATTTACAGAATTATATTGCCAAAAGTCACTAAGAGTCTAATCTTCTCCTTTTACTGAGAAGAACCAGAAGAGTTAAGCAACTTGTCTGACAACCAGCTAGTTAGTTACAAACGTAACTGAGGATACCCAGCTAGTTAGTTATAGAATTAATCCTGGCCCTATTCTCCAAATCTTATGAACAGGAAATGACCTATGGTTATCCAGGGCCTATCTTTAGGAGGCCACATCATTCCTGGATTCTACCATATTTTAGAAGCGGCTTTGTAAGGCCCCTCTACCACCCCTTGCATAGAATGTCCAGGAGAACCCGAATGTGGTGGAGAAGACTTACTGCTCATCTACAGTGTGAAGGGGCTTGACCTCCCCTTCATGAGTAAGAAAATGGGCTGTGCTTTTATTTTCTTTTCCAGATTTTTAGATCTCCCAAATAACAGTCCTAAGCCATTGCTTGCAAGCATCGTGTATATCTGGTGAACTGTTATGAATCATGTTTGATGTTTTTTTTTTTTCATGTTATACAGCACAGAAAGTTGTATAAGCTCCTGGAATCATCAAATTGGAAGAGATCTAGACATCATTATTTCTCAATTCTTTGATTTCTCAGTTAAGAAAACTAAAACCCAAAGAGATGAATTGACTTGGCCAAGATCATGTCTTGCTTATGATTTATAAGACAAAGCTTAACACAATACTGTAGTTTATTTCTAACAATATTAACTATTGCTATTTATATGATAGTCTCTGAAAGCTAATTGCCTACTTTAGATGAAAAAGGTGTGGGTTTGCTCCAAAACATCTCTTACATTTATAATTAGATGACATGAGCTAGTTTTATAAAACATTTTATTTACAGTAGAGCTTTACAAAAATAGTCTTAATAAAATTAATACGAACCCATTTTACAATATAACTTATACATCTATTTTCTCAAAAGAGTGGCATTTGATTATAACACATAACCTACATTTATATTTGTTAAGTCATCTTGTAGTATAAATATGTTTTTAACCATCATTTTTTGTAATAAGGTACATACCAATAACAATGAACAATGGACAACAAATCTTTTTTTGTTACTATTTCAATATAAAATTCTTCTCTGGCCAAACAAAATTAACCAAAGAAAAGTAAAACAATTGTCCTTCTGTTCGACAATACAGTCCTTTTAAATTATTTGAGAGTTTATCTGACACAGTATTAATTTGAAAGCACCATGGCATAAAGTCTAGTAACAAAATTCCCAAAAGCTTTCTCCAATGTGTTCCTTTCAACTGTTTATTCAGTATTTTGCCAAGATAAATAAAGATTGATCTCAACTCTCTCCTTCATTAATCTCAAGTGTTCTTATTATGCATTGAGGTTTTTAGAACATCCCAACTGGCATATATTTAAAATGTTAGTTTCTTTCTTTGGCTTCAAGTAGAATTTCACAACACTTATAAAACATACTGAGCTCCTCCATGTGGCTGAATCTCTGTGACTCCCCACCCAACAACATTGCCCCGGATATGACAAGACTCCGCTCCTCCAGTCTCTCTTATCTCTTCATTGCTGAGAACATGATCCCAGATATTGAAGCCCGTGATTCTTCCAGAAAAGGCTAATGTTTCATCAAAGCTATGGCCCACACAGCAGCCATTCTTTTCTTGGCCAATCTGCAGGATTCCTCCCTCTGGAACAATGTGACCTCTGGCCATCTCGACAGTGGTAGCCACCAGTTCACTATTTACCCACAAGGATGTGAGCCCTTTCTCTGAATTCCAGGTGCCACACAGGTGGGTCCACCTTCCCAAGGAAACCACAGTATCAGCAACCAATTTGTTCTCCTCTCCACCCACCACAAACACTATGGACTGATAGCTGAGGTATAGCTGGATCTCATATGGATTCTTCTTTGTGCCGTAGGAAAACAGGATAGTCTTGTTTAATACATCTGTTGCTTTGACCCAAATGCAGGCACTAAAAGACTCAAGCTGCATTGGTCTCACTGGATGCACGCTTCCAAAAATCTTCTTGGAACGCATTGGGAATAAAATAGCTGTTTCACAACCTAGAAGTACCAAGAAAGTGAGACGAAGATGAGAGGAAATATAAACGCATTCAGAATTATTCTGGCAGTTAGTTGTTTTAACATAAGCATTTTAATGACTACAATTGAAAATTATATGCAACATTATATTAATATGATAACTTAAGGGGCCTCAAGTGTAATCTCTGTAGAGCAAAGAAAATGAGAACAAGGAAAGCCAATTGTCTTATTCAGTGAAGAATCTAAATGGAGAAGGCATGCAAATAGAAGAAAGAAAGAGTCAACTAGTCCAAACCCACAAAATAATAAAAACCCCATGAGTACTTCCCCTCGCAATTAGCATATTGCTTTGTTACTGCTTTTTTTTAAAAAAAAGTTGAATCACCATGAGTTAATGTCAAACAATGATTCTATAATTTCCAAGAATTTAGAGCCCAACCTGGTTCTCTGTGCTTGTCTCCACCAAGCTCCTAAAATAATATAACTATGAAATTCAATGGACCTAGTTCATTCCATTTAGCTATTATTAACATAAATTTTGCAACAAAATTCTAGAATAGTTGACCCTATTGTAGAATACATTTTATTTTATTTATTTATTTTTTTTGATTGCACTGTGTAATGTAAGTAGAATACATTTTAATATGCCACATGTTCTCAGGTATTTGTAAACTTTGCAGAGTTTTTAGAAAACTACCTTTGAAAGGGAGCAATGTATAATAATGACTAACACTGGGTGCTCATTATGTACCATATACTATTCTACTATGTGATTTATATTTCATTTATATGTCATTATATGCCTTTATATGTCATTTTAATACTCATAACAACTGTGAGAGATAGTCTTTTTATTCCCATTTTACAGATGAAAAAACTGAGGCAAAAGTAACTTATCTATATTTACATAGCTGATAAGTAGTAAAACTGGAGTTTGAACTTGTGCAATGTGGTTGCTGGTTGCAGACTACACACCCTTAACCAGCACACATCTTTGTCTCTTTATAATAGAACCTCCGGATTTAGTTAGGAGGGCTAGAGTTCAGTTTGTTTTACTACTAATGAGCTGGGCAGCTTTGGATGAGCACCATAATCTTCCAGGGTTTAGTGTTGTCTACAAAAGCCTTCTAATATTCTGCAAGTCTTTAAGAAACAAGTATATGTAGCACTTAAGAAGAACTGGGTTGACCAAGGATATACTTAAAAATTCTTACTTTGCCCACATGCTTATAAACACTATTTAAGCAGTAATAGAAAAACTTTAAAAGGAGTAAATTCTCCCAAAGGCCTGGTTGGAAAACATATTTCTGCTAAAGAGCACTTAGAAGGAGGAGACTTTCAGACTTGGGAGGGAAAGTTCAGTAAGCTTCCACCTCTGTGCATCTCAAGGCAACATGGCTAGTTGGGGAACTGGAGATGCTGAAATAAGATCTTTTGGTATGTCTGTAAAATGATGGTGCTAAAACTTTTAACAGGTTAGCTCTGTGTTATTTTATACATATATTATTTTGCCAAGATAAATAATAAGAATTTTAATTTGTAACCCCATAATATGCTGAAATAAAAAAGTCCTGTCAAAAAAATTTAAAAAAATACGAATTTTATTTTATTAAAAAAAGGGTTTTTTTAAAAAAAAAACTAAATTAGGCCTAAGTATTCACATTATACAGCCTAAGGATTTTCCATAAGATTGCTTTGAAAAGCAAACTCCCAGAGCATTTAAAGACTAGCTGGTGAAGAGACGGAACTTGCAGAAACCAAACATCCATGTAAAGTGTGGTAAACCATGTTGAACTCTTACAAGTGGCTCAGGGTTAGGCTCTGTCCTGAAAACATTAAACAGATGTGGACTTTATCCTTTAGTAATAGCCAAAGAAAATAGTGAGATTCAGAAAATCATATAAAAGTAAGTATAATAGTAAAGCACAAAACGGGTCTTGTTATTCTTTGGTATTAACCTTTTCACTGAATAATTTGAATTTTTTAAGATTTTTTAAAAATTAATCTTTTCATGAGGCATTGATTCTTTTTTCAAATGAAATTGCTAGATCCATTTTTTCCTAGCTATGTTAATTAAGTAAAAATCATTGAACAAAAATTCACCATATCCATGGGCATTTGAGATATTCTCAAATGAGATATCTCATAGAGATATTCTAGAGATAGAGATATCTTCATCGAGATATTGTCTATGAAGTTTCAGTAGTGTTCAAGAGGGCACCCACTGCAATCTAATTAAATGATTTCCTGTTTAAATAAGCCCAGGCAGTCAGGATTGCATTCCAAAGCATTTCTTGATTGCATCTCAGAGACTCAGCATCTCTCTATGGGCTGCACTGGCCATGTGAGTTCATGAAGTGGAACTGCATGCTGGCAATTTTTTGTGGTCTTCTTTTGGGGACCAGTGATTGAGGCTCTTGATGCCTCTTTAAAATGTCAGGAACTGTCTCATGAAATGACTTTTAACTAATAGGTTTTTCTGATTATATTATCAAAGACCAAACAAAATTAAAACCAGGTTCTTAGGAGGCTGACAACAGAATGATTAGGAATCCCTTAGGAGCCAAGCTGGCAGGAGACCAAGAGAGAAGAAATCAAAGCATGTGGATAAATGTATTATTGGCTGTAATAAGAATGAACAACTTAGAACTCAGAAATACATCCCTCTTCTGCTCCAACTAATATGCAGAGGTGAAGATAAAAATTAGGGTAATTCTTCAGTTTTTCAGGTACATTATATGCACAATGACTTTACATGGTTTGCAAAACAAGAAATCACATCCATTAAAATCCCTGCAGAATTATAATTTATCTCCTATTACATTAAGGATCTACTACTGTATATTTGATTTTATGCTTGTTCTCCTCTGAAGCCCTATTTAATATTTAAGGAAATGTGCTCTGTACTGATAAACAGATCTCAAATATTTAGAAAAGACTAATATTCTGGTATGGTTACTGTAACTTTACATGAAATATGCTCTCAAACATGCTTATGATTCCTCCCTTTACCCCATCCTGTAAGAGTTGTTTTACTGGAAATATACGGAAGGATGGCATTGTGCTTGTTTTCTGTTTCTGAGATTTTCAGAAAAAGTGTAAGTTATATTTGCTTACCCAAGACACTCATTTTCTAATATAATCCAAAGTAATTCTCACACCACCATTTCTTAGAAATTTTGGCTTGTAAAGGAGTAATACTTGGCTCCAAATCTTCTATTTCTTTCTTTTAACTAACCATCTTTAAAATGTATTATTTTGGGAACACGTTTGGAGATTCATGGCGTGTCACATGGGACTTTGGCAAGTTGCATCTGGTTGGAACAGTCTCTCTCTCCTGTTCGGCCCCATTCTCTGAATCCCTGGGGTCGGGCTGGAGTCGCTTACGCGGCTCCTACACCCGACTGTTCCACGTTGAGACCCAAACTGCACACCGTCCCACCTCCACTGTCAGCCTAATTCCACAGACCCAGGGGCTGGGAGACCCCTGAGGAATTCCGCTGAACCAGAGATCAAATTCAGCCTCAAGCCTCTTGCTCCTAATGGGAGGGGAGGAGAGGCTGGCCGAGGGGCCCTAAAATAGCGCGGGAAACCAGAGCTCTTCTAAAGACGGAGGCAGGATAAAATTAGAAGACGTGGAAATCCCTAACGGAGGGAAGCTGGGCAGAGAGAGGGGTCACGGTTATAACGGGCCGGTGGAACTGCTGCAACGCCTGGTCGGATCAGGTGTTAGGGCCCCTGCATTTCTATTTCAAGATTGTGACCGTTATGTCCACAGCTTTCTTTGGGGTCCCTCAGAACTAAGGAATACTTTTTTTAAAAGCCAATTTTCCCGCCTTGTATGGTGTGTCTGAGCTCTGTGACCGCGCATGCAGAAATAGAGGTCCGTGCGCGCGTTTCCCGGTTAAAGCTTCTCCTAGAAGGCTGCCTGCCTTGGCTCGCCGCTACGCGCTCGCGGAACAAAGCCGCAGGGGGAGGCCCCGGCTCGCTCGGCTTTCTTACCTGCGGGCAGCCGGCGCCGGGCCGCCCAGTCCTGCACGGCGCGCAGGTCGGCTCGCGTCTGCCGCAGCTCGGCCAGCACCGCGCCCAGGGCGCGCCCCGCCTCCTCCGGGCGCAGCGCCTCGGCGCGCTCCAGGAGCGCCAGCCTGCGGCCCGCGTCGCGACTCGCCCGCAGCAGCTCGTCCAGCGCCGGGGCCAGCCTGGCCTCCTCGGGGGCCGCCGGCGCGCACTGTCTCGCCAGGCTGCCCGCCAGCCGGCCCAGCTCCGCCCGCAGCTTCTGCAGCTCGCCCCGCAGGACGTCGTCCGTGGCCTGCAGCAGCATGCCTTCCCTCATCTGCGAGTTCTCCAGCATGATGAAGAGCTTGTCCCACTCGGAGTGCTCCCGACTGCAGTCGCACGGCGTGGCTAGGGCGCGGGACACACACGTTACCAGCCCACCCAGGCCTTCCCTTCCGCGGATGCGCTTTGTGAAAGCTGACCCCCCGGGTCTGGATGCCCGTCCCCAGCATCCTCCTTCCCTTTAAGGACACCTCCGAAAGGCAACGTGTAAATGTCTCAAAAAATGACACAGAAACTACTCGTGCAGGTACAGACTAAGTCGTACTGTATGAAATTGCCCTTTATGTAACTCGAAACAGTCGAATATCGGCCATTTCATATGGTTCAACGCATTATGTATGTTACAGAAATAACTTTTTGAAACCTCCCTCTCTCCTCAAGTGCTTCCTACTTTTGCAAAACAAACTATAGTTTTTAGCCTGCTTCGTTGGCCACAAAGTATACCTATATTATTTAGACTAAAAGAGGTGGATATGCAGTTAGGGTTAGCAGAGAAACAGTTAAAAGGGACTTACGGTCCTCGGTGGTGGGATGGAGTCCATTGTCTATTTCATTGTCCAAATTCACGTACATGAGCTCGTAATCATCCGAGTTCTCGGCCAACACCGCGGACCAGAGAGCACAAAACAGAATCCCAAGGAGATACATCGCTGGAAAGAGGCAGAGTTCTTTCCACAACCGGCAGGAGGGGAAGAGGCAAGAGGCTCTCGAGTGAGCTGAGTTGGAGCCGAGGAGAGGGAGAGTGAGAGGCAGGGGCTGAGAGCCCTTAATAAATGCTGGGGAAAGCCTGAATGGGGATGAATGAGTAATGCTGGTGGCACTGCGGTAATGGGAGTTCCCCTGAATTTGCGGGGGAAGGGGCTGGGTGGGAGGGCGAGGGAGAAGTGGAAGTTACACAATATTAAACTGTAAAGGTTTACACTGCCTCAGATTAATTGGAGGAGGGTCAGAGGGGAAAGAGGAAACTGGGCTTCCAGTGTCCTGTTGAGGATTAGCTGTTATAACTTGAATTGGAAACAATGGGGGGTAAAGGCCCAGTGGGTAGGGGGAGAGATTCATTTACCCAGCTCTGAGGTGTGAAGGCAGATCATCATTTCAGCATTTTGTGTGAGCCCTTATTTCACAACCCTTTATGTTCGGAAAAAAAAATTTTTTTTTTCACTTTTCCTTTGTACACTGTTTTACAGGTCTAAGCTGTGAAAATGACTCTGATTCCAAGATAAACCAACATATTAAGAATATCTGTGACCCTAGAAGCCAGGTCCATTCTGAGTTATCTTGTCTTTAATCCTGGAGTTGCAACTGTACTTATTTTTATAAGCACACCTTTTTAATGACAAACAACATAGTACAACTGGGTAAACCTAAAATGGGAAAGAGCTGGGGAAAAGGAATAAACTGATTTTTGGTATGCTTCTTTTCATAATCTGGCATTATGTGGATATTATATTATTCTATGAGGCTTAGAGGCAAAGATCATGTCACAAAAGTAAATTTAGGGATTTCTGCTTCTAACAATAATTTAGAGGTCTGTATCAGCTGAAAACTGTCCTGTGCAAAGCAGCACCTAGAAGTATATATACATTTTAACAATAAAAACGTAAAAGGTACTGATGAGCTCCCAATAAAGTAAGGGAAATATCTGGGGACCAAAGAGAGGAAATCAAAAACAGAACAGTAAGTCCATGAGTGGATGCTAGGGCTACTCTGGAGGGGGCAAAGAGGTGTAGGGTTATAAGTTCTATCACCACCACACGTTGATGGCCATGTGGACCAAAGCTTAGGCTCAGGGTAGGGAGTTAGAAGTGAGAACCTCACTAAAACCAGGGCTCTCAAAGGGTTATATATTGGATTTCACTAGGTATAATTCAACACTCTGCCCTAGCACAAGAAAATAGGAAGCAATCATGTTTCTTTTTGACTGAACTCTATGAGATCTCTAAGAGTTTGTGACTTTGGCCCTGCCCTT